CTAGTAGATACTGATCGTCTATGGACTATAATTCGGGATTTGACTCTACTGACGTACAGGAATGAAGATATATGGTGGATTGAACTATGAAACTTCTCAGTCATATTCATCGAGGAACATAAGTGGATTAGTATTGTCATCAATAAGATTGCCAACTAAAATCAGTTCTTGAGTTTTAAACTTAATGTCTTCCAAGTTCAAGTTTTGAATAATATATTTTTTTAATGTCTTAAGAATCTAATGTACGTATGTCATCCTGCTCTTCAGTATTATAATGCAAACGTTTTTGCAAACTAAAAAGATTCCTGAAAAAAACTCTGTTTACTTCATGACAAGTTTTTAAATATTCTTGTCAACCGAAAAGGAAAATGAAAGCTCTGGAAAATTAATTATTTAACATTCATTCGATTTTAACAACCTTTCAACAAGATGTTAATCATACTTTGTCTATAGGTTTTTGCAAAATTAGATGCTCTTAAATCTATAATCATGGAAAGACGAAACCAATGTGATGGAATGAACAGCATAGAATTAATTTTAATGTATTTTTATTGATTGAAACTCGTCAATAGAGCAGCAAAAAATTCTTTATGAGATGCAAACACATGAAACGAAAGAAAAGAAGAAAAATATAGTATAGCGTTTCTGCAGCACTTCTTTGTTTACACACGACACTTTCACATTGCCATGGACTCAACAGACACGATCGAAAAGAGAGAAAATGTTGGCAACAATAATGAATATTTCTTAGTTTATGTTTTTGTTTCATTGGTTGGTTCATTGTTAATGTACTTTTGTTGATATTTCGTGTTTGTCATAATGGTATTTACAGAAGAAACCAAAATGAATCATACATTCAACATTACAGTGAATTTTTTATTTCGCGGAACAAGCTTGTATTTTTTGTGCAAAGAGATGTGGCATATGTTATAAAGATAGAAGCTTTTTTGTGACCTTTGAATTTAGAAGGGTGTATGTGGATATGAGTTTGACAGCTCGACTTCTGTTCACGCATATCTACAACCAAAATAAGGTTTAATTCTATTCTGAGTATTGGCTCAAATTCAAATTGGAATTATTTAGTACACGACACAGCGAAAGCTCATAAATGAAATTATCAAATAAAACTTTGGTTTGCTTGCTACATCTATATTACTCTCTATCGAACTCTTCATTAATGCTCCAGTAAGCATAGAATGCAGTAAATATTACTGAGGATTCAGCAAGATACGAGCTATTCTTTCCTGCTGAGTCATCGACTAATAATGTGTCTTATATTTGATAAAGATAAAAATTGTTGTGTTGACTGCTGCTTCAATCAAAATTAAATTTATTTCTCTTGTTCTTCTGTTCACATTGTCAGAGTGCTCATTAGAATCATACTAAAGATATCGAATTGACGATGTATTCATTGTTGTTCTTTTCCTTTTTGCCAAAAAGACAAAAAAGTTGTTCTGAAGAAATCAAAAAAAAATCATCGGTGAATAAGAAAAATATTTATAATGCATCAATACTCAAGTGATTGTTTAGATGAAGAGCAAATATAAGTTGGAAAGAAAAAGTATGAAAAAAATGATGTCATTGGTTTTTTTCTATTTCATTTTTTTGTTGACAATCATATTTTCAGTAGAAACTGGGTGGCATTTGGTATTGAGTGTCAACGAAAAAAAAATTCATATTTGATGTCATAGAAACATCTAAAAAAAACAGTGGGTATCGACTGTATAAACAAAAAGCAATTATTCATCATTTTAAACTAAAAACAACATTTCATATATAATCCAAGTGAACAACGATCCAAAGAACAGGTATACAAATTAACCATGTGCGCCGCTGCAACAGCAAGATCCTTAACTGTTGCCAGCCGACCAAAACAAGGTCGACTCCAAAATTATTTACTAATCTGGGTCGATGGTAACATCGACGAGAACAACAAAGATTGCGCAAATACGCTGGTGGAATTGCGCAGCATCGTCAGAGAAGTCAATCTCTGTGCGACTCCAGCGCAATGTATTCAATTTCTGAATGATATGGATAACGAAAAAGCGTTTGTTATCTCGTCTGGAGCTTTAGGACAGCACCTCGTACCGGAGATTCATGATTTGTCACAAGTGGACGCAATTTATATCTTTTGTGGTAATAAAACAAAACATGAAGCATGGGCACAAGAATGGGCAAAGATTGAAGGTGTTTTCACCTCAATCAAGCCCATATGTGAATCATTAAAGAAGGTCACCCGTGAATGTGACCATGATGCCATTCCCATGAGCTTCGTTCCGAAGCAAACGACGGCAGCTACATCAAGTCAAGAAAATCTGGACCAATTAGAACCATCATTTATGTACTCGGTGTTATTCAAAGAGATTATATTGGAAATCAACGAAGACGACGCGAAGCCGTTGAACGATCTAGTCGTTTACTGCCGAAGAAAAGGTATATCGGAAAAAGAATTAAAGGACTTTCACAGTACATACCACCAGAAAACGCCAGTCTGGTGGTATACATGCGAAATGTTTCTATATGGCATGCTGAATTATGCCCTACGAACACTGGACATGGAAATCATGACAAAAATGGGTTTTTTCATCCGAAACCTTCATCATCAGCTGGAACAACTGCACAAAGAACAAGCAAAGACTTTTATGGAAAAATTTATTGTTTATCGTGGTCAGGGACTCATTGAACAAGATTTTCAACATCTAATGGACACGAAGGGTGGTCTGCTCTCATTTAACAATTTTTTGTCAACTAGTACAAAACAACAGATCGCTATGGAATTCGTGAAACGTACAATGCAGAAAAATAAAGACATCGTGGGTGTTCTGTTCATCATGACAATTGATCCAAATACAATATCGGCGGTTACTACTACATTTGCACTTATCGACGAATACAGTGCTGTTGAAACTGAAAAAGAAATCCTATTTTCAATGCATACTGTTTTTCGTGTCGACGACATCAAACAATCAGTTAGCAATAGTCGTCTGTGGGAAGTTCAATTGAGTCTTACCGGCGACAATGATCCACAATTGGCTGCTCTTACTAATCGCATACGAGAGGAAACTCAAGGATCCACCGGATGGCATCGAATGGGTAAACTGATGCTTCAGGTGGGTCACTACAATCAAGCTGAAGAACTCTACAATGGATTACTCAAGAACGCTTCCAGAGACAGTGATAAAGCATTTATCTACCACCAGCTTGGATCCTTAAAAAACGATAAAGGACAATACCAAGAAGCAGTTGCGTTTTATGAAAAATCAGTGAAGATCGAGAGAAAAAGTCTTCCGGAAGATCACTCTTCATTGGCCCCTACCTACGCTGGAATTGGTCTTGCGTATGACAACATGGGTGACTACTCGAAAGCACTTGAATTTTACGAAAAAGCACTTAAAATTGAAGAAAAAGCTCTGCCTCCGAATCATCCCGATTTGGCTACTTCCTACAACAACATCGCTCGAACGTATGACAACATGGGTGACTACTCGAAAGCACTCTCACTTCTAGAGAAGGCGCTTGCTATTTTGCAAAAATCACTTCCACCAAACCACCCTAGTATTCAGAACGTCACATACGGGATTGACTATGTAAAAAAGAAAATGTAACTGTAATTTTTTCTTTTCACTTGCTCAATAAATTTATTCACATTGCTAATCGTTTCGATTTTTCTCGGCTCATTTTGGCTTACGCGCGCGCGCGACAAGGGAGAGATCCCTTGTCAATGCCATAGGTACCACAGGCGGACCACGCCGGACTGGTAGGGCAATGGCCGAAGGTATGCCGTATTAACACGGTAGAGACCAACGACACATAGAGGCCTTTCCTAGTACTACACTGCTTCGCTATGGCACGAAAGTTCCTGTCCCTATTGAATCAGAAAACGTAGTTCTCTGGCCCACACTAATAACATTCATAACTCAACTCAACTCAACTCATCTCAAACGTACTCATACTCATACTCATAATAACTGACAATATTTATTTTTTCTCGAAATAAATTGTCTCAACTCAACTCAACTCAACATGTAAAAAAAAATTTTTTTCCTACCTCTCAGTGTTGTATTGTATCGTAGTAGATCTAAAAAAAAAAGTATTGTTAAATATAAAGACAAATAATTTACCTTATTTAAAATATAATGATATCATTATCATTGTAAATAATATAATAATAATAATAATAATAATAATAAATAATGTACCCGGGTATATAATTACATTGTAATGTATCATATTGAGAAAACGCGAATGTACTGTTTTATGATGATACATCCATGTTTTTATATACACTATGGTTCATTGTTGAATATTCAACGGTTTTAATTGATTTTTCATCAATCACATCACACACGTGAATTGATGTTTCTTCGTGTGTTTTAATTGATTTGACGATCAATCTTTATGTAGTGATATATGTATGTTTTTTTAAATTTTTTTTCTCATCTGACGGACGTCAATATCATGTCGTCGTCGTCGTAGTCGAAAAAAATATATTCGTCTTATGTGTATATATAGAGTGTGAGTTGAAAAAAATATTAACATTCACTACCACACCCACCCCCTTCATCACCATCTTTTGAAATAAAAATCTTCGAATATTTCATCACAAACAACATGAAATCGATCTACTCTGTTTCATAGTTTTTATTTAAGTAAAAAATTAATGCTAAAAAAAAATATGTTGACACGAATGAAAGTGATTTTCAAGTTATTGTACTCGATTCATTTGTTCAATCACTTTTAATTCACATTAATTGTGGTATACTAAAGACTGATAAAAATTTCTTGTATTTCTGATCTATCGCTTATTTTTAAATAGAATTTCTTACGAAATTTCTTATTATGTTGTCACAAAGCAAGTAAACATGACTTGCAACGTATGATAAAAAGAAAAGAAAAAAAATATTTTCAAGAAAAATAAATGATTGTTTGAATTCTTTCTTTTTTAGTTTTAGCAGTATTAGACTTAGTTGTATATGATATTATTGTTGATAGTATTCAACATGAAGATGATTAATGGAATTGTATTTCACGACAAAATTGTCCATGGACTTCTTATTCATTTACAATTACATGTTACTATGGCATCATCTAAGGTTATTTTTCTTTCTTTGATAATCTTAGATTTCACTTTACTTTTTAGGATCAATCACTTTTGGATATTTATTCTACACAATTAACAAATTTTATTGTTGTATCATTATTTGAATTACGATTAATTGATCCATTTATTGTTACATTTCGAGCATTAGCAAACAGAAAAGTTCGTTTTTTTTTATTCATGAAATTTTTCTAAAGTTTAAATTGTTTTTTAGAATATCAATCGTCCTTTCCGTTTAGTTTGGTCCATAATTGGATTTATCTTCTATGATAGTACCATTTATTTGAATTTAAAATTTCTATGGTTTCATAATATCTCTAATTTTATTTTAGCTAAACAATTCTAAATAATTTTCGTGAATTTTTAATTCATGATGAAACTATACATCATCTTGATACATTTTCATATTAATAATTTTCTTGGCTTTATAGATCGTACATTAGCTGGAAATTATTTACTTATTCAATCAATATAGACTATTAGGAATAATTTATTGAAACCAAATACGTTACCATTAACATCGTTAAAATTCTTCGTACACTTATATATATTTGTATTACCGGTAGTCGAATCAATTGTTTGTCTTCATATTGAAAAGATTGTAGGACTTGAAGAGCAATCATTAAATTCACAATTAGTACTTAAATATTTACTATTAATTTTATAAATATTATTAAAATCCAACAAAAGAAAAAGTTTACCTTTCTTTGACATTGTTGTGCTAAGAAATCAAAACGGCAGAATTCTACATAGTACAAATCGTAAAGAAAAGCATTTCAACTACATTAATACAATAACGAAACTTATCGATAAAATTTTGAATCATGCTATTTGTATTGTTACAGCTAAAAAAATACGATATCTTTTTAATTTTATGAAAAAGAAAATAACCATAAATAGCTTTAAAAACATCTCGTAAGATATTTTCTATTGTGTCATTTATTTGAAACTCAAAATAACGGTTTCAACTTTATGAAACATTCTTCAAAGCAAATATTATCAATTGATGACTAAAGATACAACACAAATATTGATCTCATATTCAGTTTGACATTTTCGATCGGAAGAGATCTTGAAACTAAGTTACTTTCTTGCAATAATGTCTATGACCAAAATATAAATACAAATAACATGTGGAATTTATATTAATTTTCAACAGATGATGCAAATGATTTATTTCGTATTATTATATTTATGTCGAAAATTATTTATATAAATGTATTTCAAAAAAGAATGAGTTCTTAGTTGAAATTGAAATGAAAGGGTTATTTCGAGGTTTGACAAAACAATATATAATCTAAACATCAATTATATATAAATTACTTACGAGGCAAGATCCTCAACTGATCAATCGCTTTTGCATTGAGACAATGTGCAATATGTAGGTACAAAGAAACTATGAATATTTTGAAGAAAGTTCGGACTGATAGCTTGCTTGTACGAAGATATTGCATTTTTACGGTACGTTTTTAAATGAATGCTGTGTTCCCTCTCAGCAGCATCAGAAAAACTGATTTTTGAGTTTCGACTTGGAACTTTATGTAGTAACAGAACTTATCGAGCATAGTATTCTATAAATATTTCAGATCTTTCGATTAGTTCTTCTCTTGAAAGGCGAGCATCAAATCTTCTGGTTTATCCGAATGAACTTATCATATCTGTAAGTATGAATAGCAACAGCAAACAAGTCTGAAGGGTGGGTGTGTGGGTATTCTATTTTCTAGCTACACCCACACCCTATTTTTTATGTATTTATGTAATATTAACCAATTTGATTTCGATGAGTTGATTGGTTTTTGTAGAAATATTTCTGATAAATAATTAAAATAAATTTAAATTGATAAACAACCTTTAAGATTTATTTAGTTAAAACCAAATAAAAATGTAATGTTGAAATGTTTCAATCGAAATTAATTGAATTTTTATGTCGAGATTGAGTTAAACTATATTCAACTATTTAAGATTTGCTTTTATCAATTACAATTATCCGGAAAAAATCTTATAAATTTTTACAACTGATAAAGTTGTAAACTAGAAACGACACGTCACAGCATTTTAAACAAAAATAAATAAAAAACCAACACTTAGTCAAATGAAAATTATTTAAATAATCAGGAAGATAACCTACAAATGTCAACAAACGTATTGTGAATGTACCGTTCTAGAATGGTTTTTTCTCCAGATTCAGATGAAGGAATTTTTTTGTTAAAGTTCTTAAGTGTTTTTCCCAAAACTTGGTTTCTCGGCAACAAATTGAAACAAATTCTATCCGGCTCGGAACAGAGCTAACTTTCATATTTAATTGCTTTGTTATGCTTATATTGAACAACATGTCCATTAAAATGTTTGTAATAATTGAATAGAAGGAAATTTCAAAAATTTCGTCCGATGAAAAATTGCACACAAAAGCTAGTTTTAGTTTGAATGCAGTCCAAACTCTGTACTCTTTATAACGATGGAGTTCTTTCAATTTTCTTCGACAGTAGGAAAACAAGCCAGAAATTCGATCTAATTAGGCATATCATGCTGAGATTTTTACCATAAGTCTTTTTCATTAGTACCGATTGTTCCTGAACATTTTGTTGAAAAATTAATGCTGAGAGGATCTTAATATATTATTATAAAACAAGTATAATATATAATCAGAATTCATTGTTATTATTAGTAAAACTTGACAATTATCATTTGAAATATTATTCCAATGTAGTAAATTTCTTATAACTAAAACGTTTTGTTTATTGTTTATTAAGTTGGAAAAAAGTGAGAACTATTTATTTGGCTAATGATCTAATCTGACGTACTAACTGACCGATATGGAAACAAATTGAAAAACCTTCATAGAAACTAATAACAATTTAGAATATATTTCTTACTTAACATAAGAATTTATCTTATGTTGAATTTAGTGTATCAAATTAATCAAATAATAACTAGTCGTTGGTTTTTGTTTTGATATTTTTTCGACATTTTCATTTCATAAGTATTTAGTTTCATAATTCTATAATTCAATATATTAGCTATCGCATTTTAATAAAATCGTTTAAATTTCATGAATAATTAAATTAATTGAGAATTCTATTTAGATTTCTCATTATTTATTTATTTTAAATTGAAAACATCATTTTGAGATCTTTAAGCTACAGCTTTTAATATAGCATCAGATACAAAGGTGATGGGACAAATGTTGACTCTTATGACTCAGCAATAGGGAGTTGCTGAAAGAAAATCTATATTGGCAAGAAGATAGGAAACACTTTCATTATTCGAATCGTATGTAAATTATTTTTGTTTTATATTCATAAACAAAGCAGTGTAACAACAAAATGAAGTCTCTTCAATAAAAATATTCTGAAAAGAGTATTTTTTCATCAGTGGATAAGAAACTTTCTCGTCAGTGCAATAGTATACAACTTGTATTTGTCAAAGAATCATAAGGTAGATGAAACGAGAAATGAGAAAACATTAGTACAAGAAAATTTTGAGCTCAAGTCAAAAAATCAAATGTAGGATGAAATTAAATCGTGCTAAAAGTCGTATTCTCAAACTCTTATATCGAATGATAACAGAAAATACCTGAAAGATCTTACTTTTCTGTAAGATAGTACAATACGATTATAAAAAAATCTTATGATATGATCAAACTTGACAATAATCTTCTAGGGCGAATCGATGTAAAATTTCTGAAACCAGGATTCTTTTTTGTACGATTTCATCTGATCTTCCAGGATCATATGTCTACTTTTTTAATTTGAGTAGACGACAATTAATTTTGATAAATCGTACTTTTACAAAATTATTTTCACAAGTTTACAAAAAATCAAACTAATCACCATTTTCAAAAGATCTTTTCAATGAATCTCTAAAAATAGAATCAACCATCGTTTTACATCATGTCTTTGACGAGTTCGTATAAAAATTACATATTTATTGGCCAAATATTTCTCTTTCTTTTAGTCTCATTTTATTTCCGAATATCTTACGTATTGTTCCCAAGAGGAATAATATCCTATTAACTGATTTAAAATATATCTTTCAAAACGTACTTATCACAAAGATATGGGATCAACATTTCGTGCTTCTTTTTGAATCTTACGAAAGGTGCAAATTTGTTTTAACGGTACTTATCCTTTTTGTTATATTATTTAGGAACTTGTGATAAAAATATATCACATTCAGTTTGAAAAAGAAACAATTCTATCTTCCAACAAAATTTCGATTAGAGAGAAATAATCGAAAATTAAAAATTTTTTATTCATGACAATCATAATGAATGAATTAATTTAGAAAAAAATAATGTTTGATGCTCATATTATGATTAAAAATTATTAAGAAATTATTGAAAATTTTCTTTTTCTTTATTATATCGAGTATTTATTTTATAACACAATTATGTTACAATAAACAATTTTATTCAAATTCGATTATCTAACAAATTGATTCAACTTTTTCATCTATTTAAATCTTTGTCAACATCATTAACCTATACTCGTGCAAGATATTTATATAGATTACTGATCAATTTCGATTTAGAAAATATTGAAAAGTGATCAATATATGTTGCTTGTATTTTTATTAACACTTATAAATTAGTATTAGACAGATTATCTTTTTTTATGACATATTTTAGCGATTTATATGTTGAAATAAGACAAATCATAAACTTTCAATTTGACTCAAAATTAATAATAGAGATAAGTTTTATTCAAAAAAAGAAAAACCATATTGTTCGAATGGTGAAAAAAAAGAGTTTTACCTCGTTTATAATTCCCATAATTATTTATCGCTCTTATGATATACTTGTTATCGACCTATATTTAGATTTTGTTTTGATCAGTTTGCAATTAAAATCATTAATCATTTTCTTGAAAATTAGTGTAACTTTCAGTTAGTATATATTTCAATAGACTTTTTTTTTATATGTTTAGCTTACGCATTTTATGCAACCATGATTCCGCAAACCTAACAAATTTGCTAATCTATTAACATTTCATTGAAAATACACTAGATGAACTTGTCAAATATATGAATATGACCCTATGAAATAATTCCTCAATGTCGAAATAATTATAAAATCTCGAAACTTCTAACATCATTATTTAGTCAACGATGGGTGCGAGTGTGAGTATGACACTTCGTTAGATGAATACCCACATTCTGCTCTTTCGAATGGTAAAAACCGCAGGTAGATATCTTGCACCTAGCGGAAGTTATTCAAAGCATGACCAGGTGTCTTTTATTTTGAAACGGACAATAGATATACCTAAATGGATAACTCAATTCTGTTCGTCTAGGATAAGTTGTATCAACAGTCGATAAATATTACTTCTTAATTCTTGATTTCATATA